ACCACATCCTGTCCAGGCCAGTGACAGCAGCGGCTGGAACAGCTTCCAGGTAATGCACTGGGAGCTAGGGCAGAGGGTGGGAGGGTGGTAAAAGCTCCCTCAAATGAAGGCAGGGAAACATGTTACAGCTGGTGCTGATATGCTACCCTGCTTTGGGGCTCTCCTCTGTGCTCTTTTCACAGTCATCAGACAGCAATGAGCTCAATATCACCCGTATCATGGCAACAGCACCAGTCAAAGCAGATGCTGGTGCATCCTCCCCAAAACCATCTCCTAGCAGCAGTGGCCTGGATGACCTGGACCTCCTGGGCAAGACTCTGCTGCAGCAGTCTTTGCCTCCAGAATCTCAACAAGTGCGATGGTAAGCACTAGGTAGTGCAGTCTGGCATCTCTTGCCATTGTTTCCATTTCTGGGTGCTGGACAGCATTTCAGTGCCCTGTTCCACTCAATCTCTCCCCCTGTAGGGAGAAGCAGCAGCCACCCCCTCGGCTCACCCTGAGGGATCTGCAGAACAGGAGCAGCTCTGGCACCGCAGCCCACAATCCCAGTGCTCTGCCTGTACTCCAGAGTATTTCCCCTAACCCCACGCTGCCTCTGACCTCAGAGCTGCCTGCCCCTGCCACACTTCCAAAAGCTGCCACCGCACCAGCAGGAAGTACTGCAGTGCCACCACGGCCTCCTGCCACTGTGCTGCCCCAGGAGATCTCGCTGGCCAACATCACTGTGCCTCTGGAGTCAATCAAACCCAGTGAGCTGGGGAAAAATAGGGGGGCAGGCATGGGGGGATTCAGCCCTGCACACATGGAAGGGTAGAATGTGAAGAAACTTCTTGCTTGTTGGATTTTGTGGAGGCTGGAGAGGAATGGTGTCTCCGTCACTAGGATGATGGGGAAAGGTACTGTCAGGCCAATTCCCTCCTGGCTGACTGCTGTGTCCCTGCCTTTCCCACAGGCAGCATCCTCCCTGTGACAGTGTATGATCAGCATGGCTTCCGTGTCCTCTTCCACTTTGCTAAGGATGCCCTGCCTGAGAGGCCTGACGTGCTTGTGGTGGTGATTTCTATGCTGAGCACGGCCCCGCAGCCCATCCGCAATATTGTCTTTCAGTCTGCCGTCCCCAAGGTAAGACAGCTGCTGGGGCTGAGGTCCCAAACTGGGCAAAGCATTATTCTACTGCAGGAAAACTGGGTGGATGGAGAGAGCTCCCTGGGCATGGGAGCAAATTCTGATGCCTTCAGATTAGCACAATGCTTTTCTCTTTGACTAGACAGCAGAGCTTCCCAAGTGCAGCAGAGCTTCTGGCTGCCAAGTCACTCTCAGGAATGTGGTCACTCTCTCCTCTCACTCTCTCCCTAGATAATGAAGGTGAAGCTGCAGCCTCCCTCAGGCACAGAGCTGCCAGCGTTCAATCCCATCGTCCACCCCAGTGCCATCACCCAAGTCCTGCTGCTCGCTAACCCACAGAAGGTAACAGCACTGTCCCTGGGGCATGAACAGGGGCTGGTCTTGGTGCTTAGGCAAAGCCTCGCTACCCTATCCCTCTTCCCTCTACTCAGCAGCATCTGAGATGTGAATGGTTTGTGCCTCATGCCTTTCTTCCTTTTTCTCCCATCTCCAGGAGAAAGTGAGGCTACGGTACAAACTGACCTTCACCATGGGAGAGCAAACCTACAATGAAATTGGGGACGTGGACCAGTTTCCCCCACCAGAATCTTGGGGAAACCTTTAGGGCCACATGTTGCAGGCACTACACTGCAGATTCCTTGGGAAGCCAACCCTGTGGGGCTGGAGCAGCCAGAGGAAATGGGAGGGTGGCTGGGGGCTGGTGCTCACGCTCTGTTCTCCAGATGGCCAGGCAAGGGCCAGAGGGAGCATGCCTCAAGGAGGAGAGCAGAGATGCCAGCAGATGTTAATCTCACAGGACTAGAAGTGGAGTGGAAAGCTTCATGTGTGTGAACAGTTGCCTTCCCTGCTCTTCTGAAGATGACACTCCCTCCCCAGTCTGTCCAGCTTCTCTTCTAACCCTGCTTTCCTGCTTTAGGTGCATAGGGGAACAAGGATGGGGAGCTTTAACAGCCTCAGCCCAGGGCAAGGCCTAGCAAAGGAAGATCCTTTTCCTTGTCTGCTCCCTCCACACTTCTCAGCCCTTCAGCTACTTCGTGCTCTATGGTGCTCTCTCTTGCCCCCTTGCCCCCTCCTTAGAGCTGGGCCCCAGTGATTCCATGTGGTCCATGTGGGATCACACTGGAGCTGATGAGGAACTGGGCTGAGCAGAGCCTAGGTATCTCTCCAGCACCAGAGAGCAGACAGCTGTCTCTGCTTTGGGGGGGCTCAGGGGGAGTGATCATCACATATCTGTCCTAGCTGCTTACAGAGCTGTTGGTGAGAGGTGGGGCCTCAGGGGCTAGGAAGGGCTTGCTCTGTGCCTTCCCCGCCCCTTCAGCTGGCGTTCTGAGCCCCTACGGCATGGTAGGAACCATTCCCACAGGCTTTATCTATCATAGCAAGCTGTGGGAATGGTAGCCAGAGAGGGGCATGCTCTAGGGGTTGAGACTGCCTGCAGCCTCCTGACAGATGGGGAGAGGAAGCAGCAGTGACGCTTCCTTTCCCCAGCTGGGCTGGAGAGCTCGGTGGGGCAGGAGGGTTTTCTCAGCTCTTGAGTGTCCTCTCGCAGAGGGGTGAGTGATGGGCTGGGAGCTGGGGGAGATGGGAGCCCAGCTCATCACCACCAAGCTCTGCACTGGGCCACGGGGGGGTTCAGCTGTGCCTTGTGCACCTTTGCTGCAGCTGAGGGCAGGCCTGGCTCCCTGTGGCGGGGAGGGGGCTCGCCCCAGCTGCCTGATCACTGTGACACAAGAGCTGGGATCTGCAGCACTGAGGAGACCGAGGGTAGCACATCCCAAGCAATCCCCAATCCCATGGGACTTAGGACCATGGAAGCTGCTTCCCGTCCCTAAGCTGGTTTGGAGAGGGCCTGATCATAAAAAGCAGAGGCAAGCTGTGCTCTGCAGTGGCTTGCCAGAGGTTGAAGGAAGCGTGTGAGAGATGGAGATGAGCACGGTGCCTCACACTCGAGGCTCAGGCAGCAAAGATGATGTGTCTCAGAGCTGGGCACAGCAGGCAGTAAAGGGGAGGGGGAAGCAAGGTCTTTATGCTGGGATTCTGCTGTCTTACTTCCCTTTCCTGTCTCTTCAGGGTTTTGTATGGGTTTTTTCTTTGCAGATCTTGTTTGGTTCTTGAATAGACTTGTATATATTTTCAGTGCAAAATTCTGTAAATGGGAGAAAACAAACATTTAAAACGAGACGCCCGGCGCGAAGAATCTGCTGTATTTATGGGAAATAAAGAGTTCTTTCCTGATCCTCCTCTGTCTTTTGACCTAAGGAATGCATTTTTCCCCTTACCTTTCCTGGACCCCTGAGGAGCTTCTCTGCATGCTGTCCAGCTCAAATCCTGCCTCTTCAGTCCTGTATTTCATCCCTCAGTCACTCAGGCCCTTGTCACAATGATTTCCCTGCTCCTATGAGCAGGGTTGGTGGAATTCCCCTGCCAGTTCTCAATTCCTTTTTTTTTGAGAGCAGTGACTTCCAGGCTGTGAACTGAGTGCTGCCCACTTCCCTCGTGCCCCATGGAGAGGCGTGGGCAGGAATGTGTGCCTGACAGCCCACGGAAAGCAGGACTTGAGCTCACTCCCATGCCTCACATGACTGCAGCTTCACCACTGCTGGTGGCAGCACTTGGCAGCAGCTCCACGAGGCAGTTTTATTTCAGGAGTACAAAGGGGGATCTCTGACAAGAAGCAGCAGCAGCCCAGGGCTGGGAGCGGCTCTGATACTGCATATAAGAGTTGGCCCAGCCCCCCTTGATGCAGCCAGTGAGGATCTGGGGGGCCTTAGCTGCATCTTTGCAACAGGTGCTTGAAGCTGCCTGTTAGGAGCACCCAGGGCTTGATGCTAGGGGATCAGATGTGCTCTGCCACAGGTTGAGAACAGCCTGGTGTTTTGGGCAGGGAGACAGTGGTGCTCTGTCACCCCACAACCACTGGAAAACAGCTGCCAGCACCACTTTGCTAGACAGTAACTGGAGACCTGATCCTTGCCAAGAAGCACAGCCTAGCAGCCCTCAAATTTTTGCTCCTCCAGCTTCAGGTCACAAATGGAGTGGCCCTTCTGCCTCATTTTCCTGTGCTGCTTACCTCTTCTACCCACAAGCTGACCGCTTCTTGTTTTGGCTTGGTTTGCTGCTTCCTTTGCCAGCTATGTAACCCAGCTAACAGCAACCTCTGCCCTCTCTTAGTGCAGGTGAAAAGTCCTATCTGCAGGTAGCCAGACATAAAGTGAGATACACATCTCAGAGAGTCAACACCAAAAGTCGTGGTGGTGTTTTTCGACAAAAAGAGAAAAGAAAAACAAAAAGAAAAAAAAATTATATGAGCTCTGGTGCAGCTCTGCAGAGAGCAGGCAGCAGCTGAGCCTGAGAACCGGGAGTTTGCGGTCCCCGTGCAACTGCGGCTGCTGCTGGCCCTGCTCGGAGGAGCTCCTCTGGCGGGGGGAGGGACCAGGCAGCAGCCGCTGGCCGCAGCTTTGCGGTGGCTCCGGAGAGCCTCAGCGACGGCAGGGAGGGAAAGCAGCGAGAGGGTGCAGGGGTGGCTTTGCTGCTTGTGCCTTGCTGCTTTTGTCGCAACAAGGCGGTATGTCGCAGGGCAAGAGGGTGGAGCTGCACCCGTGAGCATGGAGAGGTGCCTGAGCAGTGCTGGCAGAGTTGGGTGGCCCGGTAGGGCAGGGTGTACATCCAAATGAGCTGCACAGCAGCTGGTGGGCACGGGAAGGAAGGAAGGGGAACCACCCCAGCTGAGACACAGCAAGAAACAGCGTGGGCCCTTCACGCGGGCTCGGCAGCGGCATGTGCTTGTCCTGCCTTGTTATGCGTATGCTGTAATAAAATTTCCCCTTTAAGGCTGGGCTGAAGTTATTTTTACTTGTGGGCTGGTGACAGGAACACAGAACGGAGCAGGAGCTCTGAACTGTTCTTACCTGATCCGTGGCGGAGGGGCGGACGGAGGAGGAAGGAAGCTCAGAAAAGGAGAGGGAGTGAGAGAACGAAGCTCAAGGGAGGGGAAAAGAAAGCAGGCAGGGCATCCTTAGGGAGGGACGAGGGAGGGGACCAGCTGGGGAAACTGAAAAAGAGGGAACGAGGGAGGGAAGGAGTAAGGAGACAGAGGTCCTTCGGGAAGTGGCTCCGAGGAGAAGAGGGCCTGCAGGCATCCGATGCCAAGCATTACCGAGGGCAGCTGAGCGGGTACAACCAAGCAGAGCAGCTTTTGTGGTCTCCTCCCGACTCTCAAGATGATGAAAAGACAGTTCAATCGAATGCGCCAGCAGCTGTCCCATCCCAGTGCCACCACCAGGTAAGGACTTCTCCACCAGCAGTACCGGAGGGAGCAGGATGCACGTCCTGGAGGGCTTGTGCTGGGGCTGTGGCCTGGGAAAATGGCAAAGGGGGGGAAAACCTTTGGGGTTTAGAGCAACTTCAGCACAAGCTGAAGGGCTTTGTGAAGGCTGCATTCGTGCTGCTCAGCAGTAAATGATCCTCAAGCCCAGCTACCTCTCCCAGGGCCCACATTCCTGCATTCACCAGGAAACAGGACTTGCCTAAGCTTGGCTTCACCAGGATGTGGGACAGTGGGGCAATGGAGAGGGACCTTCCAGCCACATACCCCTGGCTGTGCAATGACCAGGAGGGGGATTGGGCTGGGACCTGCCCTCCCTGCTGAGTCTGGGGTGCCTCACAGGAGCCAAATGCGCTGCATAGCTCTGGCCATCCCAGCAGCGTGAGCAGCCCAGAATGCCCTTTGAGGAGAGAACCAGGGGTCCTCAGATGGACCCATGGAGGACTTACAGCTCCACACAAAACCTTCTGTCCCTGTTCTACCTCTGCCATTTCCTTCTTTTTCTCTTTGACTTTCCAAAGCTCTCCCCTTGCAAAACCCAGAACTGAAATTACAGGGCTGGGCCCTCCCTGCCCAGCCCCCTCACTCCCTTTACTACTGCCACCTCTGCAGCACTGGGTTCCCAGCACTGGGTGGCTAAGAGGGACCAAGCATGTCCCCTGAACCACTGAGGTCTTTCAGGTAACCCAGCAATCAACCATAAGGAAGCAACTCCTATATGCTGGTGGCCTCTTGCTCTCACATTCCCTGGAAGGTAGCATGATGCCCCTTCCCATCCCTCTTCCCTCAAGATTTCATCCATGTCAGATGCATCTCCCTTTTGCTTCATGTCAGGTAGGCAAGCCTCATGCACGTTGTGAAGTCCAAGAGCAAGCTCTTCACCTGCTGAGGAGCCTCTCCTCTGTGGACCATGACCTCACGTGATCTTGCTTGCCTTCAACCAAACCATGTTTCCTGCAGCTCCACATCCTCGTCCCACATTGGCTTTGGCAGGCAGTGAAAAGAGAGAAATGTGAACTGGGGAAAAAGCAGCAGCAGATGGAAATCAAATGGGGTTCCTCAGAAATAGCAATGATTGCAGGCTGTGAAGCAAGGCATAGGAGGCCTATGGAGGCTATAGGAGGCATCTATAGGAGGCATCAGGGAGTCTTTAGGGTCATGTGGCTGGTGGGTTTTGAATTTGGTTTTGAGCAGAACAACAAAAAGCTGGGTTTGTGAGGGCATTTCTGGAGGGGCTGGTGTTGGTCTTGGACCCCAGTTTGACCACAAGGACACCCTTGCTTCCACACCAGTGGCCCCACTGCTACTGACTACCCAGGGCTGCAAAGATGTGTGCCAGACTGCAGCATCACTGCCCTGGCTTCACCTTCAGGGGAGAGATGGGGCAGTCAGGGGCAGTAAACATCCTGCTCCTGTTGTGGCCCTGCTAAGCAATCTGACTTCAAAAACACAGGCCACACCTGGACTTTTTGACTGAGGTGCACAGACAGGAAACCCTGTCTGATGGGGTGTCCACCAGCCAGCAAAGCTGGCTCCCTTGCCCTGCTCCTGCTGTTCTTGTCCTCCCAGGCTCGTTCTACCCATGGCCTTGTAGGCCTTGTATCTGATGGTCCAGGCTATAGCCTGTGTCTCCTGCTCCCAGGAGCCCAAAGAGAGGCCGGAAGGATGCACAAGGACCTGCCTTCCCAAAGAAGCTGTGTGGAGGTGATCCCAATTCGCTTATGGTTCCTTCTCCTTCCTCTGCAGAGCCCAAGAAGCAACTGAGCTCCTGTCAGAAGATTTGCTGCAGGTGAGGTGTGGGCTGGGCTGGCAGGCATGTGTCTGCTTGTGCCTGGGCGTGGAACCTGCCCCGCTCCTGCTGCCATCTGCCCTGCCAGCACGTCCAAGTCATGGGGCAGGGATCTGCCCGCGTGCCAGAGGGTGATTTCAGGACCATGGTGTCAAGGGATTGGCAGGCTCCTGCGACCAGCAAGGGCTTTCCCAGCTGCTCACAGAGGGATGAATCCTGACCAGGAGTTGTGCTCCCTTTTCACTGGACCAGATGCTCCAAGCTGTGGCAGGATGCTGGGCAGGTGTCGTGGTTTGATACTGCCCAAATGCCATGTACCCACAAAAGTTGCTCACTCATCCTCCCCTGCCACAGTTGGGCAGAGCAAATATTAATGAAGGCTTCATGAGCTAAGGACCTGGATAAAACACTCCAAGGGCAAAACAGGCTTGACTTAGAGGTACAAAGTGAATTTATTGCTAACAAAATCAGAGGAGGATAATGAGAAGTAAAATAAGCCCTTGAAAACACCTTTTCTTCCCCCAATCCTTCCCTCCTTCCTACTGACAGTGCAGGGGACAGGGTGTGGGGGTTTTGGTCAGTTCATCACCCGAGATATTCTTCCCCTGCTGAGGGAGAGGAATCCTTCCGCTGCTCTGCTGCACCACAGGAGACCTGAGTTCTCTGTGAACTTCTCCAGCCTGGCTCCAAATCTCATGAGCAGCAGTCTTCCCAAAACTGCTGCAGCATGAGTCACTCTTCCATGGGGTGCAGTCCTCCAAGGACAGGCTGCTCCAGCCTGGAAGCAGGGGCCCTCTCTCCATTGGGTCTCCCACTGGATCACAGCCTCCTCCCACTCCAGTGTCAGCACCTCCCCCATGGGCTGTGGGTGGATCTCTGTCTCTGTGTGGATCCCCATGGCTGCAGGGGCCCTGCTGCTTCACCATGGTCTCACCATGGCCTGCAGAGGAATCTCAGCTCCAGTGCCTGCAGCACCTCCTCCCCCTCCTTCAGCACTGGCCTTGGTGTCTCCATGTTGTTTCCCTCACAGGTTCTCACCTCCTTCTCTTCTCTGGCTAGGAAAAAAATTGTGTCCCCACTTTGTTGTGATTTTCTTCTCAAACATGTTTTCACAGAGGCATTCCCACTATCTCTGATTGGCCCAGGCTTGGCCAGCAGCATGTCCACCTTCAGAGCCATCAGGGATTGGCTCTGCTGGACATGGTGGAAGCTTCTGGCAGCTTCTCACAGAAGCCACCTCCATGGCCCCCCCTGCTACCCAAAACCAGCCCATGCAAAACCAGCACAGCAGGCCATCCTCACCCAGAGCAGGGTAGTGGGGAAATGGCCTCGAGGTGCCATGGCTCACAAAATGGCTTCACCAGTCCCACTTTTGTGCCCGCAGATTGAGCAGAGGATTGAGCCGGCCAAGCGAGCAGCTCACAGTGTGTCCAAGAGGCTCCAAGCCTGCCTGCAGGGACAGTGTGGCTCTGAGATGGACAAGCGAGTGGTGAGAAAAATATTCCCACGCAGCCTGTGCTCACCCCAGCTCTGTCCCTTGCCAAAAACAGGGATGCCAGGCCCCTGCTTTGCCAGCTTTGCTGAAGGGTGGCCCAAAGCTATGCCAAGCCCAGGTCCCATTGTCAGCAGTGGCCTCCAGCATGTGCCTGGGATGAGCAGAGCAGAGCAACCCCTTCAATCATCACTAATTTAGAACACTCCTGAGAGACAGTGTCTTTGCATTGAATAACCCTCCAAAGCCCTTGCTGTCTATGTTCCTTCCCAAACCCCCATGAACCCACAGTGCCCTGTGGTGGGAAGAACCACAGTGTGGCCAGGCACAGTGGTGTCACCATTTCTCTCCCAAATCTTTGGCTCTGTGCAGAAGAAGCTGCCCTTGATGGCTCTGTCCATGGCGATGGCTGAGAGCTTCAAGGAACTGGACACAGAGTCCAGCCTTGGGTAAGTACTGGTGGGAAAAAGTGCCAGGGTGACCCCAAAAGATGCCAGATCCTGGTGGTGACACTGTCTTGGCTCAGGGGCTGCCATTGCTCAAACCATGTCCCAGAGCAAGCACTGGTGTTGCACTGGGAGAAGGGACCAGCCAGAACCTAAAGGCTCCAGTTGCAGAGTAGGGCTGGGGGCTGGCTCAGGGACAGGGGGATGTTGGGTCAGACAGGGGCATGGCTCCAGCCTGCAGTCATTGCATCTCTGTCCCACACAGGAAAGCCCTGGAGATGGGTTGCTGCATACAGAGCTCACTGGCCAAAATCGTGGCTGAGTTCGAGATTGACCTGGAGCACTACGTCCTGCAGCCACTCAACAAGCTCAGTGAGGTAGGCCTGGCTGCTCTATTGGCTCCACTTTCTGATCCTTCCACCACTCCCTCCTGTGTCCCCAGACCTCCCCCGCTCACTCTGGCCCTCTCTGCCCCAGGAGGAGCTCCCCATTATCCTGAAGCGCAAGAAGACCCTCCAGAAGTTGATTTCTGACTGGAACACAATCAAGAGCCGGTATGGGGCACACTGCAGCCCTGGGGCCCAGAGCATACCCAGCACAGCCCTCAGACAGGTTGGGGAGAGAGAAGGATAATTGTCCTGGAGATTCAATTTCCAATAGCTCTTCAGGAGCACCCAGCTAGCTCCTCTGTAGGTGCATCCTGCTCTGGGCTCACATGCTGATTCCGGCACCAGAGAGAAGGGCAGCTCTGCTGCTAAAGGCAGTAAAGTGCCGTGGTGGTGCTTGGGACACTGAGATCACCTCGTTCCAGTTCTTGCCAGGGGTAGCCCTTGCCATGCCACATTTCTCTGAAAGTCTGCACACCAGTTCTACCCAACATTCCTGGCACTGAGACCATAAATGCGCCTCTTCTTTCCCACCCCAAAGGCTGAACCAAGCTGCCAAGAGTTCCAGTAACAGCACTGGGGCTGGTGCTGGCCCAGGGGCATCTTCTGCTGCCACCAAACTGGAGATCTTGAAGGAAGAAGAGGAGGAGGTGAAGAGGAAGGTGGAGCAGTGCAAGGTCAGAGGCTCACTTGCTCTCCCCCATGGATCAGCTCCAGGGCTGCAGACCTGCTCCCCTCCACCAGTCTTGCCTGAGGTGACCCCACGCTGGGATGGACTGCAGCCAGCCGGCATATCCTGCCCTCTGAAAGCAAATGGGGCCCTCAAGCAGAAACAGGGAGATGGCCCAAGCCCAGGGAAGAAAAAGAGTAAAGGAATTCAAAGTGCAAGCTGCTGCAGAGAGGAGGGTCCAGGGGCAAAATCAGGGAGCATATGGGGTCCCCTCAGGCTGGAAAACAGCTGAGCTAGGATCTGTCATGGGTGGTAGGGAAGTTTCACATCAGCCTTCTCCACTTCTGCCCTGTGTCTCTGAAAAGCCCAGCACCTCATCTGGCTGAGCTCATGAGCTCTCTGGAGCTGAAGGTGCAGAGGCCTCTTGTTCCTAAGCCACTTGTGCAAGGGCTTTGATCATGGGGCAGGTTGCTGCCACTACCCAAACACAACTATGGGAAGCAAGGAGAAAGCCCCACTGCCCCCAGAGACCCTGTCTAGACCACTCACAGGCCAGATGAAAGGGTGTCATGGAGGTGTCTCCTCTTCCTTGGGTGCCAGAGAGGGTATGGAAAATTGCTCTTCTTTGTCTCCCCTCCTAGGATGAGTACATGGCTGACCTCTACCACTTCTCCACCAAAGAGGACATCTATGCCAGCTACTTCATCAAAGTAAGTCTTCTGTCTCACTTCTCCCCAGGGTGTGAATGTCAGCTGCAACATGTCTGAGCCCAGCCTTGCCCCCATCCACACCAAGTGCCCCCAAGCAGGGCAGGGGACAGATCAAGGCATCAGCAGATGCCTATAGCTGGCCTTGCTCCTGCCACTGCAGGTTAATGCTACCACTAGCACCGAGTGCAAACAAGCAGCTTGTCCTGAAGGTGCCCCTCTCCAATCTGCCCTCTATGCCTCACTACAGACACAGTCCCATGGACCCCAGGGGGCTCCCCTTGCAGCTCCCTCTTTGCCCTGTCGTCATGTGGGTGCAATGCCCTGGGAATGGGCACCTCTCCAAGCGGGGCTGGTGCCAACTGAATGCCGTTTGCCTGTCCCCTGTCTGGCAGCTCTTGGAAATCCAAGCCCAGTACCACCGGCAGTCACTGGAATCTCTGGACTCAGCTCTAGCAGAGCTGAGGGAAAGCCACAGACAGACAGGTACCCTCTGGCTCTCCATGCAGCCTGGCAAGGGCTGCAGTTGAGCCTGGGGGATACAAGTGTGTCCAGCAAAGCTGGAAAAGGCTAATTTTCCCTCCCCACACCTGCTGCTGCCTACCATGTTGGGCTGGTAGGTTGGGGACACAGCTTGACACGGGCTGGGGATGCTGTCTGTCCTGCCTCTTCCTGTAGCCAGCCTGGTTCGGCTTGGAGAAGGATGTTGCCGTGGCCAAATGCTGAATGGTCCCAGGGATGGCCCACCATCCCTCTTGACATTTTCCTTCCTCTTCCAGAGCCTTCCTTCACAACAGACACCCCAGTGGCAGGGTACTACGGTGTGTCCCTAGAGACACACCTCAAGAGCTTGGGCCGGGAGATTGCGCTTCCCATCGAAGCTTGTGTCATGATGCTGTTGGCTTCCGGCATGAAGGAGGAGGTAGGGAGTGCTCCAGACCCCCTCATCACCTTTCTTCCCCAGATGCACTCCTCCCAAACTCAAAATGCCTCCCTTCCCTCTTCATGCCATCCCCAGGGACTCTTCCGGCTGGCAGCAGGCGCCTCAGTGCTGAGGAAGCTGAAGAGCAGCTTGGCCAGCGGCTCCAATGCCCTGGAGGAGTTTTACTCAGACCCCCACGCTGTGGCTGGTGAGGGCCAGCAAGGCACATGACTGGGCAGTCCCTGCCATCCCTCAGCTGCCATCAGCTCCACTGCTCCCCCTCTCCCCCCAGGTGCACTGAAATCCTACCTGCGGGAGCTGCCCCAGCCTTTGATGACCTTCGAACTCTATGACGAATGGGTCAAAGCAGCCAGGTGGGTCCAGGCACTGGGGTGGAAATCCCTGGCAGGTCTCAAAAAGCCCCCAGTCAACCCTCTCCATCCCTCCTGGCACTTGGAGCAGGGGTGCTCTGTCTCACTTGGGGAGATACAGACACAGAGCCTCTATGCATGCCTGCCTTCACTGCCCAGTAAAGCAGGACATCTCCATCTCCGGGGCTATGGCCTGCACGGGCAGCCAACACTGCCCTTCCTCCTTGTCCAGTGTCCCCCTGTGCCACAGGGAAAGGCTGAGCTCTCTGCTCCTCCTTCTCTCTTACAGCCTAAAGGACATTGACAGCCGCCTGCAGAGCCTGCGAGACACCTGCAGCCGCCTGCCCCAGGACAGCTACAACAATCTCAGGTGGTTTGTCAGAACAGGGTTTCTTCAGCCCCAAGCAATCACCAGAGGTAGCCATTTCCTCCTCAAATCCCTCTCTACTAAACCCCTGCCCTCCTTTCACCCCACAGGTATCTGATCAAGTTTTTAGCCAAGCTGGCTGAACACCAGGAGGTGAATAAAATGACCCCCAGCAACATTGCCATTGTGCTGGGCCCAAACCTGCTGTGGTCGCAGCAGAGCAGAGGGTAAGGTCTGGTTTGAAGGGGTGGGAGGCAGCTCCCTAGCCCCAGCTGGGCTGCCCTGAAGGCAAATGCCATGGCAAAGGCTGATCCAGCACTTACAGGCTGGTCTAAAGCACTTACACCTCTTCCATCCTCAAGTCCTGTCCCTTGGTCCCATGTTCCCCAGGTTGCATGTCCCCTCACCAAGCACATGTCCTCTTAGCCACTCTGCAAGTAGTAAAGGAGGGGACTGAGATCCAAAGCACTTGTGACATGGGTGGCTTTCAACACCACTGGTCTCCAACACCAAACCAGGGTTCCCAGGACAGGATAAAAGTCCATCACCCATGTTGCTGTTGCCCTTGGCTGGGCTGCCTTCCCTTCAGACCCTGACCCCTGTGGAATGAACACAAAAACTCATTTGGGGTTAATACCCCCAAACCCTTTTTCTGATGCCTCCCCCACCCCTGTCTCTCAGAGACCCCATGCAACTGGACTTGGCCTCGGTCTCCTCCATCCAGGTTGTGGTGGAAGCCCTCATCCAGAATGTGGACACTCTCTTCCCTGGAGGTAGGGCCAGGGCATCACTTGGTGGGCCACAGCAGAGAGTGAGAGGGAGTGGAAGGGAAGGGAACATTTCTCCATGTCCAGGAGGGGAGAATCGGGAGGCTGCTCTGGCTCCCTGCTGTGGGGTCATTGCTCTGGGTGGGAAGTGCTTCCTCACAGGATCTCCTCCTTTCTCTTCACCCAGAGGTAGACTTCAATGTCTCGGGCATGTTCATGCCACCCACAAACACCGGACTTTCCAAGGCTGTCCCAGAGGAAGAGCCAACTCCTGCAACCCCTCCAGCCAGCACCCCCACCCTTTTGGATGGAGAGGCGTAAGTCTGATAGGAGCTAGAGGCTCTGGCTGTCCCAGCTCTCCCATGTCCTCCCTCCATCCCACCCCACACCAGGGCCATACTCTCACAGGTGGCTGCAAGGTGCCTCACAGCCAGGACCACCATGCCCAAACAAAGCCTGACGTGCCTTGTTCTCTGCACAGCACCTCCAGAGACCCTGAGGCCAGGTCCCAGCCCACATCCCCAGGACTGCCCAGGCCATCTCCTGAAGCAGCAGGGCCACCAGCTCCAGTGATGACTGACAACGCCACCCGCAAAGGTTAGGGTGTCGCACGTGCTTGGGAAATTACACCCCCCAATGCCACCTCCTGTGGTTTAGCCATCATCATTCTGCTGTTCCCCACACCAGTGGGAACTGGGGATGTCCTTGTGGGAAAGGCCTCTGGCCAGGGCAGCATGCCTACAATCCAGCCAAGATGGGGCCATGGGAGGGATGAAGTACGTCCTCCAGTGTTGGGTTGAACACCTCCAGTAAAGAGGTGTCAAAGCTTTGTGAAGGGAAGAGGGAAAGGCCCCCAGAAAAGTTGGCGTGCATCTTCAGGACAGGAGCTGGGCAAGGGGCAATTTGTCCGACCAGCTGCCTGCAGCCCCTGCGCCCTTTGGAGAGCCCCTGTGGCGAGGAGCCCAGCCCACCTGAGCTTTCTTTCCAGGCAAACGCCCAGCTCCGGCCCGGCCCGCAGTGCCCCCGCCGCCCGTGGCGCAGCCCCGGGGCGCGGCCCCTGCCCGGGCCGCCAGCCCCAAGGCTCTGCCGCGCCGCACCGCGCCCGGCCGCGCCCCCGCCGTGCCGCCGCCGCTCCCGCCGCAGCCGGCGCCCCGCCACAGCCGAGACGATGCCCCACCGGCCCGCAGGCCTTCCTCTGCTGAGGCTGACACGGCGGCTGCCGGGGACTGTGTGCCAGGAACCACAGAGGAGGGGCAGCCACTGCCTGCAGGAGGAAGCCCCCTGGCCACATCGGCCCCAGAAGGACAGCCCACAGAGAACTGAACAGGGTGAGAGGCATGGAGGAATCACAGGTTGGGGAGATGGGATCTGGCACCTCTCTGGGACCCAGCAGACGCTGTGGAAATGCCAGAGTGGCCTGAGGGATAGCGTCTCTTGGTGTTCCACCTTGTTCCCTTGGCTCACACCACCTGGCATGCTTTGCCTGCCTTGTCTCGCTCCCCCGTCTCATTTTCCACCTCCCCACACTACCATGTCCCTACCAGAGCCCAGCCACCAGATCCCTGCCCTGATCCCCCACTGCAGGCTCAGACACTGCTTGCAGCTCTGGGACAGCTTGGCCCCATGGGGCCATTCACGGATGCTCAGCCATGATCCCAGCCCCGTTTTGCCTTAAAATGCATTGCCCCAGGAACACACAGATGGATATATATAAATACAGATGTATAGAGATATATATAGATATATACACATAGATATATCTATACAGATACCTATATTTGGAGTGCATGTTCTGTTAGGCTGAGGGAGCTGGGGTTGTTCAGCCTGTAGAAAAGGAGGCTCAGGGGTGCCCTGATCACTCTCTACAGCCCCCTGAAAGGAGGCCATTGCCACGTGGAGCTCGACCTCTTGTCCCAGGCAGCAAGAGCACATAGTCACAAGCTGCACCAGGGGAGGTTTCGGTGGGACAGTAGGAGGGAACTTTTTCATAGAGTGATTAGACATGGGAATGAGCTGCCCAGGGAGGTGCTGGAGTCACCGTCCCTGGGGGTGTTTAAGGCTGGATGCGGCACTCAGTGCCACGCTCTAGTTGACATGGTTTGCTCTTAGGCTGGAATGGTTCGCTCTTAGGCTGGACTCGGTGATGTTAGAAGGCTTTTCCAGCCTAAGTGCCTCTGTTGCTTTTTGCCAGAATTTGAGAAGCTGGTGTCAAAGCCGCACGCCGGTGTGAGCAGGGCACACTTGGCAGTCTGAGGTGATGGAGGGTGCAGCACGTGGGCCGCAGCGGGAAGGGCAGGAGGCGGGAGCGCGGCCGGTGCCCGGGACAGGAGGCGGGAGCGCGGCGGGAGCCGGGGGCCGTGGAGAGGCGGGCCGGGCCGTAATGGCAGCCGCGCTGCCACAGCCCCGCCGGCCGGCAGGGGGCGCTGTGCGGCTGCGCGGGCACGGCGGGGGGCGCGGCCGGGCACGGCGGCTCCAGCCAATGGGCAGCGGCCTGGGCCTGTCCCCGCCCTCTCCCAGCCGCGGTCACTTTGGGGCCGGCCCTGGGCCCGGCTCTGCCTGTGGGAGCGTCAAGGCCTCCCATTGGTGGCGGTGGCGCGGCGGGGGGCGGTGATTGGCTGCGCGGCGGGGCGGGGCGCGGCGGGGGGCGGTGATTGGCTGAGCGGCGGGGCGGGCTGCGGCGGCGGCGGTAGCATGGCGAGCTGCCGGCGGCTGAGCGGCGCGGGGCTGCGCGAGGTGCTGGGCCCGGCGCAGGGGCTGCTCTTCGACTGCGACGGCGTCCTGTGGGCGGGCGAGCGCGCCGTGCCCGGCGCCCCCGAGCTGCTGGAGCGGCTGCGGCGCAGCGGCAAGGCCGCCCTTTTCGTCAGCAATAACAGCCGCCGCTCGGTGGCCGAGCTGGAGCGGCGTTTCAGCCGTCTCGGCTTCCGCGGCGTGCGCGCCGAGCACGTCTTCAGCTCCGCGCTCTGCTCCGCGCTCTTCCTCCGCCAGCGCCTCCTCGGCGGCGGCGGGAACGGGAGCGGGGCCGGCCGCGTCTTCGTGCTGGGCGGCGAGGGGCTGCGCGGCGAGGTGCGCGACGCCGGGCTGCGCCTGGCGGGCGAGGGCGAGCCGGCACCCGGCGAGCCGGTGCGCGCCGTCCTGGTGGGCTACGACGACCAGTTCACCTTCGCCAAGCTGGCGCAGGCCTGCGGCTACCTGCGCGACCCGCAGTGCCTGCTGGTGGCCACCGACCCCGACCCCTGGCATCCGCTCAGCGACGGCCAGCGCACCCCCGGTGAGCCCGCGCCCCGTCCCGCGCCGCCCCGGGGGGAAGGGGCTGTGGCGGGGGTGGCCTCGGGTGGGGTTCGCTGTCCCAGGTGAGGGCGAGGCGGTTCCCTGAGCGGCAGGGCCAGCAGGGATGCCCTGGCAGTCCGTGCCAGCTCCCGAAGCGGGGCTGCCAGCATCCCTGTCCTGTGGCGGGGCCCGGGTGCTGAGCTGCCCGCGGCTACTTCTGTTCCTCCTGCTTCCCTCCCGCAGGCACTGGCAGCCTCACAGCCGCAGTGGAGACGGCTTCGGGCCGCAAGGCGCTGGTGGTGGGGAAGCCCAACACGTACATGTTTGATTGCATCGTGGAGCGTTTCGGGGTCGACCCGTCCCGCACGCTCATGGTGGGAGACCGTCTGGAGACAGACATCCTGTTCGGCAAGAACTGCGGCCTGGCCACCATCCTCACCCTGACAGGCGTGTCCCGCCTGGAAGAGGCGCAGGCCTACATGGCTAGCGACAGCGCCGCCGCCAAGGATCTGGTGCCCAACTACTATGTGGACAGTATTGCAGACTTGATACCAGGCCTGGATGAGTAACAGTTTGTACATGTGAGGGCAGAGGGGTCAGTTCCCCATCCCAGATCTCCATCTGTTCCCATTTCTCTCTCACTGCCCTATTCCCTCAATCCCCGGGTTCTTCATATGCCAACATCCTTCTTTGGGGGCAAAATGGGAAGGGGATTGGCAGGAGGGGACAGATTTCAAGTTGTCTCCTTTCTGCTGAGAGCTATCCATGATGGACTGAGTTCTTGTCTCCCTCATTGCCAGCTGCCATCATCTTTGGAAGAGAGCTGGAGTCCTTGAGGCTGCTAAGGGGGATCAAATCAGTGTCTGTGTGGCCTCTCCAGGGGTTTGGGACTGGCTGCTTTAGTTTTATTTTTCCCTTGGATAACCAGTGGCAGCTTTTACTGCTGTCCTTTGAGTTGTAACTCTTTAATTCTTAGCAGCATCCCTGCAGTCCTTGTGGTAACCCCCTCCTTGCCAGGGGATTGGCTGGCACTGTCACCCACCTGGTGTCTGTCAGTGCCAGGGCATGTGGAAGGAGTGTGCCAGACCTCTGGAATCATGAATGAGAGCATCTCTGCCTTCCACAAGTGAAAGGGAGCATTGCCTCATCTCTCCTCTCCCCTGTTCCTTAGAGAAGTTTCCCCCCCTACCCCCTGCCCCGACCCAGTCAATAACTGTGCCAGTGTCCATCTGAAGGACAGAAGAGACCACTTTGAGGGTTTTTTCCTGTGCCAAACAGACAAGCTGTGACTGCACAGTGGGTCTGCAGTTGCACCTTGTTTTCAAGAACCCTTTCTAAAGGGGCTTTTGAAGGACAGAGGGCTCCTAGGCCATGACAACACAGCACTAGTGAACTGTATGACTCTCCCTGGCTGCCCCTTCTCAGTTGGATTTTGTCATAGTACAGTGAGAGAAAAGTGCTGATGGGGGTCTGTGCTCCAGCTGCCGGTGTGCAGGTGAGATGGTGATGATGTTGTCACTGCTGTGAATGTGTCACAGTCCTCAGAATCATTCCTTGCTGCTTTGTCTTTCTACGTTTTTTTAATTTCTTGATCTAATTTATCAAACTTATTTATTGTTCAAATATTGTATTATTTGTATAAATTATGCTGACTGGTTGCACCAAGGGGACAGAAGGGAGTGCCTTTGGGCATCCCGTACTGTTCATGTCCCATGTCGATGTTCTTACACTCACTGTGTCTCTGTATATAATAAAGTGTGAGCATAGGCTGGAAATGACCTCTTTTTTCACTCATGGTCCCATCAAGATGAAACTGCCCTAGGTATCTTTGAGCCCTCACAGGTGAGGACGTGGCAGGACCTTTCCTCACTCAAGGGGGTGCTGCTGGGTAGACAAGACAGCTGGGTGGTGTCTTTGAGGTGCCCTTTGCTGGATCACTGGTGCCTCAGCACCGCCTGGCGGGGCTGTGGTGCAGAGTGCAGGGTCCAGCCAGGTCACCTGGAGCAGTGAGCAGTGCAGCCCTTGCCAGCTGCCTTTGCATTTCACAGGGGACATTGCTGAGAAAAGTGACCTCTTGTGCTGCACCTGAAGGCTGCCTCTGCTGGCCAGGTGGGCCCCAATGACCTGTGTGGCCCTGCTGGGCTAGGGGTGAGGTGCCACCTCTGTTACGTGCATAGAGGGGCTGAGAACTGCCCAAGCGAGGTTTTACTGTGACCTTTCTTGACTGTGCTGTGCTTTAAGTGACAGGGAGATGGCTGTGACTGTAGCCCTGGGGTGACCTTAACTGGACTAAATCTTGCCTTGTCCTGGGTTTGTCCATACTCCCAGCCCAGGGAGAAAATGGATTGGGTAAGAGTTGGAAGTGACTCAAATGTGCTTTGCCTCCATTCCCCATACAGGAACCAATTGTCCCCTTTGTCTGCCAGACCCCTTTAACTGCTGTTGATGGGAACCAGGCATCACATCTCAGGCTGGAGAGATCAGAATTGAGTGTTCAGTAACTCCTCTGTGTCAGGTACTGTAGTAAACCCCTCAGGTTTAGCCAGGGCCCCTTGGAGAATAGAATGCTGACACAGCAGCAAAGAAGTTTCCTGTCTCCAGGGACATCCGCCTTGTACCTTATCCCTATAGCCATGTAAGGCAATATTGTGTTAAACCCTACTATTAGTCACTTATGGTCACTCTAACACCTTTGCCATTGGTCAGGATTGGATCCAGGCCAAGGGTATAAAAGTAGCATACTGTACCCCTACTAACTCGGAAGAAGAAGAGCTGAGACCCTTCACAGACCCTACAATAAAGCCATACTCGTAGAACAGCCAGTGTCTTCTGCTTCTCCTCTCTCTACCGTCTGCTAGAGCCTTAAGCCAAGAGAAAAGCTACCTAGCAAGCAAAGCTGAAATCACAAGAGCTGCCTAATCACTAAGAGCTGAATATCTCCCTGCTTGCTAGGGGCTAACCCACGGCCTTAGTCTGAGAGCGAGCTGGCTTCTAGCACCCAGTCCCCTTGGGGACTGAGCTCTGGAGCTGTAACAGCTTGCATAGGATAAGACCAAGCTAAGCTCATTTAAGGTACTGCACTGTCAGCTCACATGGGAGGATTGCATGCAGCTTATTGTCCCTAGGATAGTTCCAGGTGCCTTCTTTGTTTTTTCTGTCCAAAATAACCTAGGAAAGAGCCTTTCAAAATAAAAGAACATCCAAAGAGCTTTCTGAATATTGCCTGTCATATTAATCAGTCGCCTTTGTATATGACCATTTCTCTCTTTTGTCTGTCCCATGTCCAATTAGGCCACCAGAGGACTGGTAGTCCCTTAATGAGTCCTTGACAAACACTTGCATCATTTAGTAGAGCAAGATTGAGACCTAATGTGTCTGTTAACTTGGCTTGCCAATCTAGAGATACCCAGAGCCTGGTTTATTTTTCAGAGCTCGCAGTTCTTGTATCAGGCTGAAGTGCTGTTGTTGTGACTTTGGGGCCACAGCTGGAAATGCTCAGTATGGCTGCAAACTTCCCAGGCTGAATTGGTTACTTGTGGGTGTACAGAGGAGACTGTGCACAGTGAGAACATTCCCAAGACATGCCTCCTTTTTTCTAGGGTGCTTTGAGGGTGAGCGCTTGCCTGCTCTGTTCTTTCCAGTTCTCCCAGACAGCAGATGGGATGCTGGAGGCTGTAGTCTCCCAGGCTGGCACATGGAAACAAAACAGGAAATCCAGTAGCTGGTCAGAGTGTTCCAGCCTGTGTTTGGGCCATCTCCAAAGATACTTTGGGGTTTGTCCTTTGGATTCCAAATGGTGAGCCTGCAGAGTAGGTTTTTTTCATGTGACTGCTGCTGAAAACACAGCTCAGCAGGGGTGATGGCTGATCCCTATCTCTTGTGACCATGTAGCTTCTTTTCATCTGCTGCATCTCTCCATGAGGGCTTTGCTATGAAGCAGAGGTGGATTTGGAGCAAAGGGTTTATCTGTCCTTGCCTTGGTTCATTAGACATTAGATAGTGATGACTTCTGTCCTGTGTACATCACTGCAGCTGCTCTTGCTCTGAACGGGGATGGAGCAACACTGGGGTCCATCAGGC